CATTGGAAATTGAGGCAATTTGTTTGCTGTTGTCGCGCATCCTGCGGGTAATTAAAAAAGGCGCAAGAACAGCATGGCTCAGACTATACTACCATCGCCATTGGGCTCCGTTTTGGCCATAGAAAAAAAAAAAGAGAAAAGAGAACACTGGGAACAGACCAGAAAACAACGAGCGACATTCTGCCAACGCAAACTGGTCACTGCAGTGGCAATTTGTGGCAATTACATGCGGAGCCATTTACATTTAGATTGAAGGGTATTTATCTACTCCGATCTTGGCCGCGGCTTCCACTTGGCTCCAGGAATGAAATTTGCATAAATCAACAGGCCAAAAAAAGTTATCAAAAAGAGCTGCTGGAAGTATTTACGTACGATGGCGGTCAGGATTATAGTTTTGCAAAGGTTTTTAAGAGGGCTTTTGAATTTGTGAAATCATCTTGCTTCATTTCTTTTATTTTATTAATAGTTTTTGTATATTGCACATAAATTGCTTACACATTTTTACGTTCTGGTGTAAAGTTTAAGAAATCTTGTGTGTAGTTATCGAAAAATTGGTGCAGTTTAGTTTAGTTTATACCCCAAGAAAATTTTTATTTGAAAGTCCCTGTTTTTAGAGCTTTCCTTATTTTACTTAACATTATAAGCATTAATCCTAAATAACTTAAAAAATCTTTCCAAAATCCATGAGTGTAAAATACTTGCCAAAATTAGCAGAAATAAATCAGAGTTTAAATCCTTACTTTCATATTAGTCCAAAACTCGCACATACTCCAAATCGTTATAATTTAGAAAATCATCCTTAGTGCTATTATTTTCCCCGCTTCTGTACATAAGTATAGAAATGTTCCCATGTGGGATTGCGTTGGCGCCCCGACTAATGAAGTCTCGTGCAGTTGAAATACAAAATGCTAACAAGTTGTTATTATAAATCGACATGGAAATTAGTTTACACTTGAAGCCAATTGCCGTTTGTCGTTTGCCGTTTGATTTATTGCCGCCTGTCACATGACTGCCAGCTGTCTGCCTACCAAAAAGAACCCCAGATCGGGTCCGAGGTGGGGATATAGACGCAGATACAGGCCAGATTCGGATTTGGATACAGATACAGCTTCAGATACAGATACAGTCACGGACACGGACACCCGACACCAACAACGGCACCAACAACGACACCAACAACGACAACGACAACGACACCACTCGAATGTCGTTGGCGCGTGGATCCCAGAGCAGAGTTTCCATTGGGCTGCCGCCTGTCCGCCCAATGTCTGCTCCACTATATATGCACTACAGATCTGCTTATGCATATACTATAACTCATGGCAATCGGCGACTGCAGGCAAATAAATTAAAGCATAATAACAAATAAGTCGTTGCGCTGACGTTGGGAGGTTTTCGCCCACGCCCGGCCACTAGAATTTGTCTTAACTCTGCCACAGATCGCATCGAACAGGGTTTAATACTCAGATTAAAAATAAGTATCGATTAATTGCAAAACGAAATCTGTCATAAAAATACCGAAATTGATCATTAATTTTAAGCTTAATTAAATACTTAAGCAAATGCTTTTTGGGTTAATCATATTAAATTTTTACCTTCCGTGTTAAATTTATAGAGAAATTCGTCTATTATTTTGTTTTTATAAATTGAAGTGCATATCCTTAAAAGTCCTCAGGCTTAAGTTATGACCCGTCCATTTTGTGAACTCATTTGCAATGTCTTTTTTTTTCGCAATCTGGTCGGGCGCTTTTAAGCTGTCAATTTTTGGCCACTCTGCGTCTGTTAAATGCCTGCTTAAATTGCCACCACACCATGCTACGCCCATCCCAGCGGTGCCACGCCCCCTTTAAACAAACCGAAGCTGTCTGTAAATAAACGCTTAATTACATGTCATTACACAAAAGGCTTGGCGGTGGAGGAAACCACCTCATAAGTAATAAAGCACGTAACCGCAACCTGAAATCGGATTCTGAATTGCAATTGGAATTGGAGTACGGAAACGGTAGTTCACCTTAAGGTCCTTGAGGATTTTTCCGATTAAATTTATTATCAAAGAGGTCAGGAAATTGCTTTTATCATTGCTGCCATCTTGGATATATTTTCAGTACATTTTTTTTAATGCCTTAAAATATTGTAATAAAAAGTATTACTAAAGAAAAAAAAATACAACAAATTTCTTTGAACACATCTTAGATCAAATATTTACTAAACATTATTAAAAATCATAAATAGCACATAACAAATACTTAAATATTTTGTACTCCAATTCTGTCAATTTAGATCGCATGCAAATAGAACAATAAATATTTTTCTTCAAATAACCACCTTAAATCCCAAAGATCACGAGTCACCCGAATTTCCTCATCTGAAATATGTCATATTTAGTGCATAAGCTACGAATCAATTTGCAGATGGCAGCAGGTCACTTCATTTCGGTTGAACCAGGCTCATTTCGTTGGGTGACATTCCTTTTTTTTTGTGCTGGGCGTTTATCAACATAATGAGGAAACAACTTTTCTGACTTATCAACTGCTGGAAGTCGAGCCACTGCCCACCTGTCAGCTCCGCCTGCTGGCTTTGGATGGAGCTGGTCCGTAGTGCTGGGAGCCATGGAGCTCCGACTGGCACCGAAAAGTGTTGGTTAAAGTGTCAGAAAATTTCATTATCGCACCGCCAAGCGAAAAATGTCGTGCGGCATGCAATACGCAGGGAAAAGGGGCAGAAGTTGAGGCGGATTGCATTGCTCCGCCCGTGTCTGCAGCCATTTATGCCAAAATGAGATACAAATAAAAATTAAATAAAAAGCACAGGCAGAGTGAGAAAAGTGCCACACAGAGGAAAATGTTGGGTTAGAAAATAGGTATAAGCTTTTACAAAAATTCTACAAACATTTCTTATTTAAAATACCGAAATGTGAAAAGCAATGAATAAAATATATTTACCATTTCGATATACTTTGTTTTTGTTCTGATATGCGCTCAAGATTTTATATAATTTTAAATTTCGCCTTTTTAACAAAGCATAACTTAATCATAACTTAATCATAACTTGTCCAAACCAGTCCTATCCAATTTTCTATGTAGGATTTATTTTACAGATTAATATATTACTTAAAATTTAATCGATTTCGAAACATTTATTTCTATAAGATCTTTATCAAGAGTCTCGTTTTGATCTAATGAATTTTGGGTGTTTTTTGCATTGGAGACCTATTAAATCATTTAATTTAATTGTAATTGTACTCTGTGTATAACCTAAAAATAAAAATGCAAGAAAAATAAATGAATCCTTTTAGTAATAATAAAAAGTAATATTTTTTGTAACTATAAAGGTTTCTTTCTCTGCACAACCATCGCTGAATATGTGTGATACGGGCCAGAAAAGGTAGGCCGATCTGGTGGAGTCCGCAGGAAAAGGGGGCTCACTCCACTCCACTGCTGATATTATTAAAAAACTGTCAAAAACGCCTGCGCAATGGGGCTGGAGATCGCGGACTCTGTGCGTGCCTCACTCGAATCTGAGTTTGAGTTTAAGTTTGAGTCTGAGTCTGAGTATGCGACTGGCTGCCTGTTGTATCTGTAGCACATTTATCATTTTCATTTCAATTTTGGGCGCATTATTCTTGCAAAACTAAATAGCAGACAGACGGCCAGATGCTGATGCCGAGCGTGGGCGGACAAGTGTCTGATTGGCGCGTTCCACATGGCGTATGAGCAATGGCCAGGCAGCAGAAAACGACTTGTCCCAGTCGCTCATTATGGGCAAGTTTCGCGCGCCTGGCGCTGGCGTGTCATAAAACAGTTTGAAAACCCATAAAACTGTCACTGGCGATTTTCCAAACGGCCAATGTTCTCAGTGTTCTCTGTGTTTGTTCAGGAAGTGTCTGCCACCGAGGCCTGGGAAAATAATACCAGCGAATGGGCGAGATGAGCGGAAATGTTCGCCAATCTTTGGCAAATAAAAATAATGGCGATGTGTTCGAATCAGTCGTAACTTCCAGTCAGGTGCGAAGCCATTTGCAATGATTTAGAGGTTGGCATTTAATTATACCCAAAGCTTCAATTAAATGTGTAATCAAGAACAGGTGTAATTTCGAGCTTAGGATGCTAGCCTGAGGATCTTGGTTGCCATAAAATTAACTTCTGTGACTCTCGCTTAGATTAGAGTTAATTTTATTCTCACTCCACAAGGTGTTAAATAATAAATGTTGTGCTGTGTAGCAGAAGCTTTTCCATTGGTTGAAATTTATTACATATATTGCCATTATAATGCTTGTGTTAAATGTTTCACCTTGGACAAAAAAGCAATAAATTTGTTGATCAATTAAATATATTTATTATATGTAGAACAAATGGCAAACAACAATTTTATTTCTAAATGGCTAACAAATAAATTGATTTATATTGCCTTAAGCTAATAATCAACAACTTATTTTTTGTATTTCTTAAAGTTTTAAATTGATTCTTAAATCTCTTGTCAGCAAAATTGCATAAGTTATTTCATTTGTTCATCTTTAAAGGCAGCAAATATGTCTCCAAAGCGAAATAAATTGTACAAATCTGGCTGGGCTTTTGGCTGGCTCTGTTTCCATTTAGCTTCCTCTGCGAAACTGCCAAAAAGACGGGAAAATCTAAACGAAGGCACCTACGACCGGGCCAAGAAAACTGCAATGCCAACAAAAGTCAGTCAAAATTATGCAATTTATGAGATGTTGGCAGAGCAAGAGGGTTAACCAAAAAACACACTTGGCGCCAGTTGCGGCGAGGTCCTGGAAAATTCCGTTTTCCTCCTGCAACTTTATGTAGTTTTGTTTCTTCCTGGTTTTCCACCCGTTTCCCCATTTTGTTGGCCGTATAAATTTGCTAACCACGTACGCGACTTTGGCCCTGCAATGCGGTGCTTCTGTTTCAGCAAGCTGATTTGAGCTCCTTTGTTTGGATTTTTTCCAGCTCCTTTCCCCCTTTTTTTCCGAATCGGAGCTGTGGCTATAACAAAATGTATTAGATTTCGCACAGATAGCACGAGCTGAGCCGCGCTGAAGCGTAAAAATGTGCGCCTATCAAGCAAATTGTATCAGCAACACGTTCGGATTGCTGCCGTGCTCTTGGTGTTGCTGCCGTGCGGTTGCTGCTGCTGTTGCTGCTGCTGCTGTTGACCTGCGCGATCCGTGGCAACATCATCTAATGTTCGGGGCTGGCCACACTTTGTCTGGTAATTCAATGCCAGCGGGCGTTTTGCCATTTCGCACCTCCTTGACTTGCAGCTACCTAAAAAAGAGAAAAAAAAAGAAAACGTTCACCTGCTCCCAATGTTGCAGCAACTGTTGCAAGATCGCGCGTGCCCCCCACAAAAGCGGGATTTACGATTGCCCGCGAATAATCAGCGCAGGCGAATCGCGAACGGGCAATAAAATGCTTCCGGTGCAACAGCAACAGCAGCAGCAGCAGCAGCAACATGTTGCTGACGTTGGAGTGATGCATGAAGATTATCATGTGATATGTTCTAGAACGCGTGGACGTTACAGGTCCGCAGGCTCCAGGCCACAATCCATTTTTTTTGGCTGTCAGTCGCTGCTTTTGGTGGTGCTGCTGCTGTGGCAGCAACATGTTGCCCGTTTGGTTGTTGTCGTTTATCAATGGCAGCTGATCGGCGATGCATTTGATGATGAGGAGGTCTCAAAGCCTCCTTACAAGCGGCACATTATCTTAATGTGACTGCAAAATAAATGCGTTGCGAGGCCATTAAAATTGTCGAAGAGGTTGCCGTGGCTTCTTCATTGAGAACTTACATTTCTTGGGATTTTAGCAGCTCCTTGGCCTCATTTATCTTGCCTTCTAATGGATAAATACCCACACTCAGGAAAAAAATATAGCACATCATATGTAATTTAATAATATTGTCACTTAAAAATAAAGATAATTATCTTGAGGGTGAAATTAATTTTAATTTATAATTTATAATTACTAGTGTCTTAAAAATAAAATAAAAAAAATGCCAAGGATAATAAAAAAATTGCTTTTCAGTTATTTTATTTAAGTATGTTCTATATGCTACAAAATTTCACCACGACCTAAGCTTCAATAAAATATTTTCTGAAAAATATGGATAAGTAAGGATTTTGGTTTTTTTTGCTAAGTGCAATCACATTACGTATACGCCCTGTTCCCCCAAAGGCAGTGTGTGGTCTTGTCTGGCTCATAATCTCCTTTTTGGCAGCTGGCAATTTGCTTAGCACCCGCTATGAAGATAAAGCATTTATTGTCTTGTAATATTTAATCATCGATTCGCAATTTGTGCACTTGTTGCAGCCACATCATCAGCAGCTACAAATGACTCATCAATTTGGCTGCCGCCCATAAAGAGTTTTATTTTAAACTCACCCACACGAAAGGGCCAACGAAAAAAAAGGCAGAAAAATAAGAGGGGGAAATGCAGATCAGATAAAGGCCTTGGCAATCAGCAGCGTCATAATTTTTCCAGCGATAAATGAGTTGCGATAAGCAGGGAGCGAAGGCGAAAAACACAGAGGGAAAAGAGCCGGGTTCGCTGTAATTAAATGTCGTCAATTAATCAAATGTCACAATAAAAATAACAGAGTATAAAAATCCTGAAATTAATATGCGTTAAAATGGAATGGCCTCAACATGTGCAGCAGGAGCATCACGAGCATCAGGAGCAACATGGCCAACAGCAACAATTGCATCGCTCCTGTGGTCAACAGCAACAGCAGCAACAGCAACAGCAGCAACATTCTTGGAACAGAAAATCGTGGGAGCAATTATAATTATTTTTAATACAGCGACAGAGAAACAGGGACAGAAAGTGAGATGCATATTTGCAGATGCATGTGTGGCACATCGTTTCCCCGGGGTTCTCTGGGTGCCCTGGCCGTATTTCATGGGTTGTCTCCAGCGGAGGAGGAATGGAGAGGGGAGGGGCAGCTGGACATCTGCGATTTTTATCGCTGTAGCGCATATAATAACAATAATTCTTAAAGTGGGGGAAGGTCAAGCGCACAATGACAAGAGGCGAAGTCACAAGAACAGCAGCTGAGACCCCAAACTGAGGGGCGAGGGGGGAAGACAGACTGGTGGAGACGCTTAAACTCAGCAGCAACATTAATTTGCAGGCACGACAACAACATCAGAGCCACAGCAGCAGCAGCAACAGCAGCAGAGACATTTGCATAAGGCTCTTTAGAGATGGCAGACTGTAGAGGGAAAAAATAATAATAGCTAATAGCACTTAAGCATTTTATAAAAAATTATACAAAAATAATAATCTAATAATTTATAATAAGAATACTAACATGGGATTTTATTACCATTACCTTTATACAATGATATTATTATTAATTTTTAGAACTATACATTGGATCGTGATAATATTGTATATTTAAAAAAAAGGCCCCATTGCTTTAATGATATTGCAATATAAATTTGAATTTAAACAATACGTATTGAAAGTATATTTTTAAACTTTTTAAAGTTACTCAAATGTTTTTTGTGTTCTTCATTGATCATCAAAAGGGGGTTTTATTATCATTACCTTTCTATACTTGTTAAGTAAAGATAAAATAATTGATTGTTTTTGTCCTTTACTTAAACATACTTTTTAGACATAAGGTCTTAAACTCCTTAAAAATATTATGAATTCAACCATCGAAATATCTTAAAGCAAAGAGTTCTTCTGCGCATTGTCCAAAGAATCTAAATTACTTAAATATTTAAAGAAATAAATGCACAGTTCTTCCATCTACTTTTCAGAACATAATTTAAAATAAATAATAAATTTAATATACCTTTAAATTAAGTTCCGGCAATAAGTTCGTGTCACTGACCCATCCCTAGAAAGTCTGTCCCTTTGGAGCCTGGCTGCACAAGTTGTAAAATGATATCATAATATGCGCCATCAACGGTTGCAAAATTTATAACTTATTTCGAGGGAAAGAAAGGGAAAAGGAGAATATGCCCCGGGGGGAGTAGAAAGGGAAAGGGTTAAGCGTTGGCGGCGCCAATTTGCAGGAGGATAAAGGCACATTGGACCCTCTACAGTAGTGCCAATGAGCTGTTAATGCGAGCGGCAAGGATTTCATTTCATCTCATATCCCTGCATTCGCTTTAATGTTGTGGGTGATTGCGATTTGATTGTCCCGCAAGGATGAGAGCGGCCTAAAGTGTGGAGGAGCGGAGCTATGGCCCATAAGTCAGACAAATATATGGCCAAGAGTCTGGCCAAGATATGTGGGATGTCCGGCAGTTGGCAGCCGACTTGGGCTGTGTGTGTCAACAGCATGTCAGAATGGGACAGCGGCCTGTGGGCCACTAGACAAGTTGCAGCTCTCCTCCTTCTGATTATGATTTTATTTTTTATACATCTATTTTTTCTGTTTTTCTTTTTTTGCTGGTTGGTCTTGAACTTGGTCTGGCCCGTGGGCAGTTGTTGTTACGCTTGTCGCTTTCGAGCTGTCTGGGCGTTGCCGATAGTCAGCAGCAGCAACATGAAAGGCTGCAACAGCAACAGCAACAGCAGCAACTGCAGCTTTGCCATGGCAATTAATTCATAGAGGCTGGCATTTATCACATTTGGCTGTTGAATCAATTAGCCAACAGCCAAGAATACCTTCGGGTTAATCAGGCCTTATCGCACAAAGAAAGTAATTACGGTTTAATTACTCATAACCTGTAGTTGTAGACTTGAAAAGCAGTCTTAAAGATTTATGATAAGTTACAACCGATATAAATGTTCTAAGACACACAATGTTGGCACTTTTATTACGTTTAAAGAATAATGAACACGGTTATTTGTAGCAAAAAAAATATTTATTGATTTAATTTACTTAATTTTATTTTTCTGACCGAATGCGTTTTATTTTTACTTACATATAATTATTTTAACTGTGTTGCATTTATTTTTTTTAAGGATCCTTTTGTTACATATTTATTCTTTAGTTCATTTCTGCCCATCCTTTAATGTCTTTATGTAAGTTAAAGCTTAAATAAATTACAAAACCATTAGAACCTATATTAAAAACTTAACAAATCCCATTTTAAAAAGAAAATTCTTTTACATAATTTGTAAGGTTTTGTTGTTTAATTTCCTAAGGTGCATTAAAGGCCACTTTCTTTAGTTTTTGCAGGAAGTAATATGACCCAGGACAGTAAAAATGTAACGAATCCCATTTTAGAACGAAAATTTTAAAACGCTACATAAATTCTAAGGTATAAAGAACCAAAGGAACTACAAATTTATTTAGATATTAACTGATAACCAACATAGACGCGTTTTGTTGTTTAATTTCCTAAGGGGCAATAAAGCTGACTTTCTTCAGTTTTTGCAGGAAGTAATATGACCCAGGACAGATTTCCCAGCTACCTCTCTAACGGGACTCCAGCGCCATCAATCTCCACTGACAATTCCCGTCTTTGTTGCTATGTTAATGCTAATTCCTCGGGAGAAACCGGGAACAGAATGGAGTTGGAATGGGCAAGAGAAGCGACAAAGTTGTCAATGATTTAGTGGAATTTTTATGGCAAATTTATTTGCGCGCTGGAGAAAGATATTTTAATTGATTTTCTTTTCGAGTCGAGTGGAGTGGAGGAGCCAAAGTGTGGGAAGACCAGGAGAAGGAGGAGCAGTCGAAGAAAGTAAACCGAGTCCGCCAAATGATATATTGATTTGTGGCAATGTTATTAAATGCTCGTGGGCCCCGCGAATGAAGAGGTTGCAAAGGGGGAGGAGGCTGCCGCAGAAGTAGCTGCCACATCAATTTCTGGTTTCGATCGCCGCCGCTGCTGCCTCATTCTTGCGGCATAATTAATGCGAAAACCAACGCACTTGATGCGTAAGGAAGGCCGAACCAGCCCAGCTCAGCTCATCGCAGCTCCGCCCGAACCCGAACCCAAACCCAACCCAAGGCGAGGAGTTCCAGTTGCACTTGCTCCTCCAAGCCGAACCGAATCGCACAAGTGGGAGCCGCAGCCCGAGGAGGGGCACATGTCGAAGGCAGAGGCATTGGTGGCAGGAGGATCGCCAACTGGAAACAGCTCCCCACGCAACACAGCGGCAACGCAGACGCAGACCTCAAGGCAGACCACAATGCACTGGAAAAAATACTTTAAAAAAATATAGAAGCTCAAACTGTTTTGAAAAAGAATCTATCTTCATCAATAAGTTATAAGCTTATTTCAGTAACATTCAAATATCAATAATTATATATCAGCAAATTGTTTACAAAATGTGTGTTTTAAGGATTATTATAAATTATTATTTTTATAAATACACTATAGGATTCTTTCGGGTCCATCGTTTCTAAATTCCAAAGTCTTATTTTACCTTGAACAATAGCATTTCATTTCGTGTATAATGTAATTTGTTTTTACTTACATACAATTTTCTGTTAATTGTTTTTAAATTAAATAAATCTAAATTATTCTTTAAAACACATTACATTGCATTTTAAAATCAAATAATAAGTTATTTTGGTTTTCAAATGCAATCTTAAAGTACAACAAAATTATGATTTCTTTTCTAGATGGATTCTTGTTTTATTTTTCCTTTTCCCATATTAATCTACCTTTAATTTTCTCTCAGTGCTCATCTTCCC